TTAGATACCAGGTTTCACTGTGTTAGCCAGGATGGTCTTGATTTCCTGACCTTGTGATCCACCTCCCTCAGCCACCCAGGGTGCTGGGATTACAGGCATGAGCCACTGCACCCAGCTCTTTTATTCTTATCTAATACTCTGCACCTTCCTTGTCTAGATTCAGAGCCCCTTAGAAGTACTTTTCTTTGGCTTTTGAGGACATGCTGCACCATTCTTCAGATTCGAGTCAAGTGAACAGTTTCTCCCTGCCTGCAATGTGGGATTAAGACAATTTAGGAATTTGCTATATTTTGGTGTCTGTGTAAGCTATGGGAAGTCATAGGACTGGCAAAATTGTATACCAATACTGTACACTTTCAAAATGGGAACTTTAATAGCATTTATTAGTGACACTAGAAAACACTTTGCCAGACAAACATAGGAAGCAAAGCCAAATGCCAGAAGAAGATTTTGGAGTGACGTCTCCAAATGTCAGCTCTATACTACCCGTGTTGATAGTCATTTTTAAAATTAAGAAAGTTTTTTTGTTATGAGTTGTTATGGTAAAACAGGGCATCTGTATTGTACTTTGTACTATGGGGGAAAAAAACCTGGTGTATGAGCACTTTGTCTTTAAATGGAGATTTTCTAATGCCTGTTGCCATTTTCCAGAGTCATCATGATGTCAGTGATGTTGTTATGTGGTCAGTGATGTCAATATTACTCAAGTTACTTTGGGTTTTCCATGTTTGACAGGAACCTCAGGGAATCCATAGTTATCAAAGGGGTGATAATAGCAGTGACAGTATTCCTTTGCAGCAAACTGTATTATTAAACAAACAGTAACAGCAACAACTACCACTACAAAATGGTTTATTTATTTGAAAGCAAACCATTGCTCTACTGTGGGAGTTTTAAAATCCTTCACGGTAACTTACTAATTAATCAATCTTCTATATATTCAGACAGGATAACTCATTAAAATAGGGCCAGCAATGTTAAAAGCATTTTCTTACATCTAAACGATTTTGGATGCACTTTATAGCTGAGCTCTGATTCTTTTGTCAACCACTATTTGAATACAAAGGGAAAGAAGTGGATTGTTTTATTAATTCTAAATCCTCATGTAAACAATCAGAAAATTGAGCAAATTGACTTGCAAACACATACACAGAAAACCACTAAAGTATCCCTGCTACAGCACACAGTTTAGATTGCCTTCTATACCTTTGTGAATTTAACAGTGAGGGAAAAGTTCTAATCTATAAAAAAGGAATGAGTTATAGGAATTTTCAATTCTAAATAAATTTTAATCACCAACTGACAAAATGTCATTTGCTTATAATGAGCCCTTGTATTTTTCTCTGAAAAACTGAATATATGACATATAGAGGATAGGAAAGTCCCTGCCCATTACTGAGAAATTTTTCTAATAACCAGAATATGTACTTCACAGGAAAAAAAAATAGATTGTCTAAATATAGCATAGCGATTCATTAGCATATTAATTTGCTTTGCTTTCCTAGTTCTAGAAGTGAGGGTGAGGGAGAAGGAAGAAGAGAATAGGGGAGGAAACGAGAATGCAGTGGAGGGAGGAGAGGAAAGAAGAAAAGGAGAGAGAGGAAGACAGAAAGGGAAGGCAAAAGGAGGGCATTGGAGAAAGAAGAGAGAAGGCCAGAGGGAAAGAAGAGGGGGCAGCAGGAAGGGAAAGAGAGAAGGAAGGGAAGATAAGCAGAGGGGGAAGCAGGGAGAAGAGATAATTTTGTGTATGCTGTTTTTTATATTTTCCCCTACTCCTATAGGGAAGATGCTGTGTTCCTTGGCAGAAATTGCTTAAGGCAAATCTTCTGACCTGGCATTTGAGAAAGTTTTTTTATGTTATATTGGTCACCCCCAAGGGGAAGTTTGGAAAGAGTGTTTGAGTGTGCAGGGCTCCAGGGATAGGGTGAGGGGAAAGGCGAATCAGCAGGGCAGAGAGAAGGAAGCAAAGGGCCCCTCCCACAAGGGAACTTCCCAATACCCTGTGGAAAGAAGAAAGTCCCAATAATGACTCAGTAAATTTCCCTCCTAAGAAGTCAGACGTGAGCTCTGAATTTTTATTTAATTTAAAAAAAAAAAAAGTGTATTGTGACATTTTCTATTTACCCTAGTTTGAGACTGCAGATTTTTACTATATCTTCCCTAACCTGTCCCTCAAGATGAAGTTTTCCTTTCATTTCTAGAGGCTACTCTTCATAATGGGACCAGAATCAGCCACCAAGCAGTGGCCCTGTCTCTAATCTCATCACTCATTTTATGTACTGAGGACCCAGCTTTAGAGTGTCATGATCGGACTCATAGTGCAGCCTTGGATTCTTTTTTTTTTTTAATTTATTTATTTTACTTTAGGTGCATATTATATCTGGCATTTCTCCCCATGTTATCCCTCCCCACACAGCCTTGGATTCTTATAGAAAGAGTTTGCTGCTGTGAATTATTTGGTTAATGATCCAGCAAGTGCCCATTTTAGCCTACTAAATGTTAGGCAATGGCCAAACTGTGACAAAAAGGCCCTGAAGAATAAGAATAAAGTTTAGGGTTCAAGATTACCTTCTGGGAGAACAAAAGTTCCCCATATTTCCAATCATCAATTTATATAAAATAAACTAAATCTTAATTAAAAACAAATGAACCAATTCAATATTCATTTAGCTCCATACATAAGCAGAGCTCTGAGGAGGATAAAATCATTCTTTCCCTCTCAGAAACATATCATGTTGTGAGCGGGATGACATACCTGGAAATTAATAAACAACTCAGAGTTTTACAACAGCTTATTCTGGCAACACTCTTTTTCTTCCTGTTTCCAAAAAAGAAGGAATGGTAGCTTACAATGTTCTTTGTTTAACCTCCACTGCTGGCCGTGTAGTGGGTCTTGCTTTCACCCCTCCCTGCATGACTTGCTCTTTCACAATCCCTTTATGTATTCAGCAGCCTAAGTTATTGCAAAAGTTTTGCTCCCCATTACATCCCTGCCATTTCACTTTGTGCTTGGTGCAAGTAGTACACGTGATACTTTTCTTGATTGAATGAAGGTGTCAACTGAAGAATGATAGGTTTGTAAAATTTGGAAAGGACAGCTTCTTTTCACATAAAGCGTTGGCACTTGTAGAGTGGCATTCTGACCTCTGAGAAGCGTAGTCTCTGGTCAGAAGCTGGAAACGGGCATTATGAGGGAGGGGAAAAGGAAACGAATTTATGCTGAGCAGGGTAGCTGAATATATATCTTCAATAAGCTATAGGGGGATCCATGAATATTTGTGAAAGGAGAAAGGTGCGCATGCACAATTGAGTTTCATGCCTCTTCAAGGGATCCATGTTCATAAAATTATAGCCTTAATACAATCTGAGGGGGCAGTTTTCAGCCCAATCTGAAGCAGAAGACATGAAAACCTTTACTGCACATTCTCCATAGACTAGCCAGAAACACTCCAGGATCAGTGATCTCTTTTTGTTCCAAACCACAAAAGGGAAGGATAACGTCAGGTGATGGTTGACGTCAGTGGTGGAGTCTTTTGAAATGACTGGTTTCTGTTTAGCCACAGGGCAGAAAGCCTAATCATAGTTAGTGATGGAGCAGGTATGTGTTCCACCTCCTATCCTGTCATGGCCAAAAACTTAGTTTCCAAGTTTATTTTGGGGTCCCCTTGGCCAAGAGTTGTCTGTTCAGTTGGTATAGAGGGTTAAGATTTTATTTTTATTCCTCAAATGTAATAAATTTTAAGAGAGAAAGAAATTTATAAAACACAAGAAATAGAAGTATAGCTTAGACCTCCAAGCAAGTTCTTTAAAAGCGTTTAAGTTTAACAGTAGTTTTTAGGATAATATTTTGAAGAAATTGTTTTTAATCATATTATTACGAGATTTTAGAAGAAGCATATCGTGTGAAAACAAAACCTTGGTATGTCCATATCTATCTCTATCTCTAAATCTATAGTCAGTCTTTAAAACAGTGACACAAGAATGACACAGACCCACTCTCTGGTTCACTCTCCATATATTAGAGCCTGGTAATCTTCCAAAGTTTTTACAGCATAAGGCATACACAGAATAGATCCAAAAAAAAAAAAAAAGTATATCTTCTGAAATTCCCTGAATGGATTCAAATTTTTACTCTTCCAAGTTAATCAATTGGTAGTCTATAGGATTATTGTAAGGATACAATTGATGAAATGAAATATGTTTTCTTACCACTGGTCAATTACTTGTATTAAGGTAATTTCATGGACTTTATCTCCCCTCTTGGAAACTGGAGAGCAGCACTTTTTGTCTGGTAAATAAAGATTTAAAAAAAGAGAATATGTCATTTTTGACCTTGTGTCATGGTACCTATGGCTTTCTACATGCATGGTTTCATCATCTCAATAATCTTGGGAAGAAGGTATTGTTACGTTCATTTTATAAACAGGAGACTGAACTGCCACAAGGATAAAGTGAATTTCTCAGGGTTATACAACAAACACTTGATAGAAATGATTAAATAACACTTTACTTAATTTGTTGTGGGTTACTAAACAAAGCATAGGTGTGCATAAGTCATTCAATTATTCAGGCACAATCTCCACCCTTAGTTCTAATATCGAAAGTCTTCGCTCTTAGTTTTTAATAACTACAAGGATCATCATTGAAAGATCCAAGCTCCGGAATAAGCCTAAAGAGGTAATCAAAGTGGAACAATAGTTCACACTCTTAAAGGAATAATTTGCATTAATGGAGTTTGCCAGGCTAGTTTCCACTTGAAACTTCAAATCTTCTTTCTTCCTTGTCTTGTTAACTGTCCAGATTTATTTCCTAGGTTTTTTTAAACTCACATATTAGGCAATGGGGTGTATTCTGGAATTGAGATGCTATTTTAAACTTTTGACTAAGAAGTTTGGCCATCAGACTAAAAATCCTCAGTGTATTTGACCATAGGTACTGTCTCAAAAATCCAGAGCTCAAAGTGAAGTAGTAAGGCAAAATTTGGAATTCAGCTCTAAGACAAACTCATCAATTCAGCTGCCAGAAATTTAAATAAAGGACAAGGAAGTGTATGTTTACCTGAGTCTAAAGAGCAAAGTTGCTTCTGGAAAGAAGCCCTGACTGGAGGTGCTGGCATTTGAAATGTTGGGCAGGCGCACATGTTGCTTAAATTTCTGGAGATTACAGATTGGTTAGTGGGAAGTAAACTACGTTTGTAAATTCTCCACTGGGTGGAGTCTGAGCAGTTCTTTGAATCTCTCACCCTAAGATCTGGCCTGAACATTGGCAAGAAATTCCTGAGAGTTCCTTGAGAGGTTCTGGGAGCCGAGCACCCCGTTGGAATCCTAGGTAAGCTCAAGGTGCTGATAAAAACTCTCTACCCTAATGTTTACTCTGTGTTTTATCCAAATGGAACTTCTCTCAGCTAGAATCCTTGTCATAGTGTTTTAAAAGTTTTTTTCTGTTGCTCTCTTCTTTTTTTTTTTCTCATATTCTTTTCATAAATAAAAATGGTACGACCTTCCTAAAGGCCCCACCTTTAAAAATGGGTTAAATGAAGATATCTTTACCAACGTAATGGAAAAGAACTGATGTCCATAGTGTACTGCAGTGCGTATACTGAATATGGATACATTTGACAAATCAAAGTTTGTCCTGTTCTTACTTGAGTTTAAACAGTAAGATTAGGTCAAACTCCAGAGGCGGGAAAGATATTCTTAAACAGACTTTAAGTCTGCTGTTTCCTGGTAACTTTAATTGTCTTCTTATGCTGCTACATGTCATATTAAATATTTATTTAGAGAAGTGAAAATGCCTGTTTCTTGCCCAGAGTTTCTTTCCCTTTCATTTTATGAAACTGTCATTTCCCCAAGAAGAGACAGTTGATACACTTTTTAAAAATACACTAGGTTTTCTTTTTTCTTTTGAGGCAGTGAGGTGTTACTTAGTAGTAACATTGAAGCAAAGGTGTTGATTTTATTAATGTGCTCAGCAAGTGTATCCTAGATATGAAATGTACATTTGTAACAGAGTAATGTTACCCATTTCTCAATGATATGCTTAAAGAATCTTGCTCAATAAGTATATTGTTTTTCCTTTTTTCTTTATTAATGAAAAACTACACACTTTCTCCACATATTTTTAAGTCAGGTTCTAAACTTTGAATTCCTACGTACAATTTGCTCATTTTAGGCCTGAATGTGGAACTGTGTAAAGATTAACTATTGGGCACTAACAGTTATTTATTTAGCTATTTAACCCTAGATAGTGGGTGATGAGGAGATTCTGAATTCTGCGATTTCCTTAAAATCAATCCGTTTTTAATTATTATACTAGTTTTTTTACTTTAAAGTTGTAGCTGTCTAAACAAAATTGTGAAAACACTATTTCCAAACCTAAATTAAGGGCACATTGGTGCTGTCTATCAGAAGGTATTGATAATTTATTTTAAATTACAAATTACCTTTTATCTTTTTATAAAGGACCTAATGTCATTTGAGCTTAACCACAATCCTTTGAAGAAAGTGGAATTTAACTTTAAATAGCATTGACACACAGAGCAGTTAGGTGACTTGCCCGAGACCATATGATATGTATGCCCCCCCTCCTTGACAAAATTAATACTAAATATGTAAAATTTGAAAAATTTGTAAAATATGTAAAAGTTGAAGTTTTTAATGGCATAACATTATGGCTTGTGAACACTAATTGTCTTAGCTGATGAGGTGAATGAAGAATTAAGCAGCAACTAGTATGAATGATTAAATTGCATCCTTAGAGTGAGTGTACTATGCTACCCTGGGAACTATAGACTATATTTAAGTGTATGCAAAGTCGTGCACTGGTGGAGTGGGGCAGGGTGCACTCGTTTGGAAGATACTATGCCCATCAAGTATCTCAAGGTACCCCAGGTGTGTCAGGCCCAGAAGCAGAACTAGCCACTTTAACTTTTGCCTGGCTGAGGCTGGACTGGGAAGGATGGATTCAAAAGGGTAGATCAATTCATATATACCTTGTGGTCCTTTGCAGATTGAGTGTAGGACTGAAAAAAAGAAGCCAAAGAAAAAGGGAATGAGCTGAAGAAAGACACACACACACACACACACACACACAATCAGGAAGCAACATGAAAAAAAGAAATAATAATAATAAAGTGAGAGGTTCAAGGCTTCTAGTAGGAATTGTGCTACGTACATCCCACTCACAGACACTGTCGAAGACCAGCACGATGGACTCAGCATCCCCGGCACACTTAAGCACCATACAGTGCACTCCACTGTCCTTTCAGTCCATTTGTGTTTCTACTCTGCCTGTGCCAGGGTTTCATCTCAAAATGAAGGAAAAGGATTCTGATGCCTCAAGATTATTAGAAGGATTAAATAAGATACAGATAGAAAGAGCCTAATGAGTATCATTTTTAAAATAAGGAAAGTCGAATTTTATTCAAAATATGTTGGTAACAACCTAATCTCTTTATTTAAGTAACCCCACTTAGAGTTGAAAGTCACCTCCAATAAACTCAAAGGGCTCGCCTCCCAAAGAAAATTGCAAATATAAGGCAAGCTCTCTTGACTCTGAATTTCAATAAAATGTTTGCCTAGGTCTTTCACATATGGTCGGAATGAGAGAGGGTGTGCATCTAGTAATATGTCATTATGTCAAATAATTCATCAACCAATTTTGTTTATTCTCTCAAACTGCCACTTTAGTGGCAGGGGTACTCTGCCTAAATGAGGTAGCTATGAAGATAAATTAAACATGATTCAGGCCCCCAGGTAGAGTTCAGTTCAATAAGGTAGAACAGCAACTCAGTCTAGCTACCATAAGTAACATGTTTGTAGTAAGACTAATTTGATAGTAAGACAGAAAAGCATCTCAGGGAATTTTACGAATAGCCAAGAAAATTGACTCCCTGCAGACTTGCATACAACATGTTGCATGAAGGATTCAGTGACTCTCAAGATGGGCTTGTCCTGTCACCTTTTCAGGAGACATAGCTATTCAATCCCCTGTGTAACTAAGTGACTCTCACTTGCTGCTGGAATCACTTCATGCTTTTCATGCTTTAATAATCAGTGGTTCTGTTTTACTTTGAAAAATGAGTCATCCCATGACAGTATTCCTCCTAGACTCTGGCATTTCATAGCTTCTATCTACGATTATTTTAAATTTTTGCTCCTGTATCTAACTAAAAGAATAAGCACATCTCACAGCTCAGATTCCTGAAAGAATTTGGTTATATGCTCAGCTAAACATCATCACTGTTTGGTTAGAGCTTTTACAGCAAATAATTCACAGATCTTTGATGAAGCTACAATGTTTTTAGTGGGTAAGTGTCCAACAGAGGTATAATAAACTATGACCAGGCAATTGATAATGCCAAGTGGTAGAGACACAGCCATCACTCTTTAAAATGCAGGTTCCTCTATCAGAAAGCTATAGGTGGGACCCATTTAGAATCAAGTTTTAAGCACAGCAAGTGTTTTTGATCTTTCCTATCCATACATGTGTTCAAATAAATATAGTGCCTGGTAGAATTATTGTTAGTAAAGTTCATATCTTAATTGTTATTGGTGTTCAGAGGAAGACAGCCTACTTTTACTTGAGACATTGTAACAGGCCTCATGAAAAATTATTTGAGCTAGGGCTTTGAAGGATGGCTAGAATCCAAACAAGTTCAAGGGGAGCAAAATGCTTTAGGCAAATGAAATGGCATGAGGAAAATCACAGAAATAGAAAATTTTATGTGGAGGACAAACAATACTTATGGTCAGATATTGAAAGCACCATTCATCAATGTTGAAATCATACACTTTTGTACAGAACCATGGATTGAAGCAGTTAGGAGTCATGACTGATATCAAAGTAAAAATCATGCAATGGTGAAGCTTGGTATCTTTGTCTAGGAATATAAAGAATGGCTTATCAGTGGAGACCACTGACATTTGAGAAAGGAAGAAGCCCAAAAAATACAAGAATGAAAATTGAGAGTGCAAGAAGAATATCTGTCTTACTGGCATTACATAACACTCAGATATACATCTCTTTATTACCAAACACTGTATGTGTTAGTGAAGGTAAAAGAGGAAGAGAGACAGAAGGACAGAGACTGAATTGAATTCTAGAGCTTTAGTTCTGTTTTAGTTTTGGCCCCCAGGGGTTCTAGGCATTAAGAACAGTCTGAATCGAAAAATATTAAACATATCTTGTGATCCAATATTCCCGTATAACATAGACTCAGATATCCAATGACCACCTTGACATTTCTACCTGCATTTTCAATACTTGTTGCCCAAGATGGAGTGCAGGATGCAGTTAGCTCACTGCAACCTCGAACTCCTGGTCTCCTGCGTCATCTTCCTCTGTAGCTAGGACCACAGGTGCATGCCAGCACATCTGTTTGTTTGTTTGTAGAGATGAACTCTTGCTAAGTTGCCCAGTCTGGCCTCAAACTCCTGGCTTCAAGCAATCCTCTGCCTCAGCCTCCCAGTGCTGTGGTAACAGGTGTGAACCAACACACCCAGCCCACTAAACTGAATTTCAATTTCCTTCTTCAAAATGTTTCTTCCCCACGTATTTTTATTTCATCGTATTTCACATATTTGCCCATATCCCAAAGCTAGAAGAAAGCTCTTTTCGTGTGCTTACTAGAAGTAATCTGTCAGCCAGTCCTATCTACTTTTTCTCCAAATCTCTCACAAATCCACACTCTTCTCTCTACTTTTGCCCTCATCACCAAATTTAATTCACCACCATTTCTCTCCTGAACTACTGCATTAGCCTTAATTGGTCTCCTTTTTCAACTCTTGAAACTCATTACAGAGCAAAGTGATTTTTATTTAATGTAAAATTATATCACATTACTTTTCTACTCAAAGCTCTCCAATGGTTTCCCATTAACCTTAGAAACAATTTAAATTTCATTCTGGTTCCCAAATTTCTTTATGATTACTTTCTGCCCCTGCTTTTCGCACATCACAGTTTGTTATCCCTCCTTCTCTCTTCTTCCCTCCCTAGGGAGTTTAGTTGAATAAGCCAAGCTCATTTTCACCCCAGGAGCTTTGTACTTGTTGCCATGTTCCTCCAGGTTCAGGTCTTCACATGATGTAGAAATGCTCATCCATCACTTTCTCAGAAAGATGAACATGATCCTCTAAGGCTCTTCCATGCTCCAGTGGAATCTACCTTAAAGTTTCTACCTTAAAGAACTACCTTAAAGGGTCATGTTCATCTTTCTGAGAAAGTCACACTCCGGTGACTGTGTCCCATTACTCTGCTGTCCCATTACTCATAGCTCTTAGATCTGAAACTGCATTGTTTTTCTATTCTTCCACTAAAAATAAACCATACAAGGGTTGGCACTAATGCACTATCTCTTACACTGCTGTCCTGTCAATGCTCGGAGCCACATAGTAGGTACCAAATAAATAATTGCTGAAAGAGTAAATAAATTAATTAATTAAATGAAATCAGCAAAACTATATGTAAATTTAACTAGCCCAAAGAAATTTTATTTCCTGTAATATCATTCTTGTTCAATTTCAAAAAACAAAAACAAAAAACTAAGGGGAAATATAAGCAAACAAACAAGCTAGGGTGAAATTTTAAAATATGTGTTTAAATCTCCATGGTCATTTATCCTTTTCCAAAAAGGACATGTGGCATGATGATTAAACAGAGTATAGTGTGGTTTCAAGAAACATCACACAGTCCTGCCTGTTCTAAGATAATACATATGGTGTTGACAAAGAAGAAATTTATAATTATTAACAGCACCAGGTGGATGAATCTCTTTGGTATTCATATGAACAAAATGCTAACATTTTAAGTAAAATTACCTTTTGCATGAATATTATTTTCACTCACAACAAATAATTTTGTTCAGGTTCAATATGCCCATAGTTTTAAAACCATGATCTAACAAACACTGGGGGTTGGACAGTGGTGTTGGGAAACAGAGAAAGACAAGCTAAGTGGGACACTGCTTTCCTACACTTTGACAAAGATCATCGTTGCCATTTCCTCCTCATAAGATACCTAAAGGAAAAGGTTATGATGTTATATATGTTTGGAAGCCACAAATGACATATTTCTAGATAATAAGAATTGAATGAGCTAATGTTTAGTGAGGACTTACTCTGTCCTGAGCACTATTATCTAATTTAGTTCTTTTAATGTCTCTAAGTTACTATTATTTTCTTTTCTTTCTTTTTTTTTTTTTTTTTTTTTTTTTTTGATTATATGAGAAAAACTCATGCATGCGGTTTAATGCTGGTTGGTTAAGTATATTATTTCTGCGGTTGAGAAAAAGGAAGTCTAAAAGGCTCTTTTCCACAGGAAAATGATGATGTCTAGATGATGTTTTATTATTCTATTTCAGTTTAAGAGAACAACTTGTAATGGAGCCTTCATCTCTTGAGCTGCCGGCTGACACAGTACAGCGCATTGCGGCTCAACTCAAATGCCACCCAACGGATGAAAGGGTCGCTCTCTACCTAGATGAGGAAGATAAGCTGAGGCACTTCAGGGAGTGCTTTTATATTCCCAAAATGCGAGATCTACCTCCAAGTAAGAACACTGAGAAGATTTCTTAAATGGATTTATTGATTTATTTATTTTTGCTACTGCATGTGTTCATTATAATCTTTGAAAATCATTGTTCTATTACATAATAGAGCTGTTGCAATTATGTTTGTAAAACAAAAGGACCCTGGTGCTCTCAATCAACCTGTCAGCCTACCTTAGCCTCAAATTCTCTGTTTTCTCTCCTCCTCTGAAAATGCATACAGGGTACTTAAACTGTCAACTACTTCTCTGAACAATCGAGTGACTGATTGGAAATTATAGGCAGATACATTTATATGTTCTCTAAGGACTTGGGATTCAAAGCAATTCTTTTAGAATACAATGTTAAAATAGCTCTTATATTGTGCCACTTAGTTTATGATAACGTGATGTTTGTCTTAGAGAGAATATTATTTTCTGACCTGGATAAAATAGGAAGGATGTTATATAAATAGCCATCTTTGCATGCTGTAAAGTTGGCAAGGGTAAGAGTCACCAAGAAAAGAAACAATGAATGTCCAATAAATACATATTATATTTTAAAATAATATAGTAATCTGACCCTGTTCTGGGTTCTCACTCATAGGCAGGTGTTGAGCAATGAGAACACATGGACACAGGGAGGGGAGCACTACACATTGGGGTCTGTTGGGGGAAAATAGGGGAGGGACGGTGGGGGTTGGGGAGTTGGGGAGAGATAGCAAGGGGAGAAATGCCAGATGTAGGTGATGGGGAGGAAGGCAGCAAATCACACTGCCACGTGTGTACCTATGCAACAATCTTGCATGTTCTTCACACGTATCCCAAAACCTAAAATGCAATAAAATTAATTAATTAATTAATTTAAAAAATAAAATAAAACAGAAGTAACAAAGGCATAACAATAAAAAGAAATTCACCAGATTTAGCTTTACTCCATTTTTTCATTATTAAAAAAATGGTTCCCAGTTTGAATGGAATTAGTCTACCAAACTGGGTTTCACATGCTTTATTGTAGTCTGATTTCATTTTATTCAGATAAATGAGGTGCAATTTTGGGTATAGTGCTCAGGATCCATGAAGGCCAGGTAATAACATTTTAGGATGCCTGGTTCATGTAACACTAATATATACTATGTAACAGATGTTAAAACACCTGTTCATCTTCGACTATGTACTTAACAAACTGTAGAACTCTGGATGGATGGAAGAAGGAAAAATACCTGTATCCAACCTAAAATTGCATATTATCGATTGAGGGAGACATTGATAGAAATGACAGCTAGAAGAGACCAAATAAAACAAGGCTATACGTGAAGGAATCTGAGACAACAGAAGAAAAATCTAGGTCATTCTAGAATCTAAAATTAAAAGGACATTTTGATTTGAATCTTAAGAGATAAAATACTGCTAATGAGTGAATTGTGAGGAAAACAAATTTAGGAAAGGAATTATTAGGGAAATGGGAGATAAGGGGCTTGGTGATATGTACATCACAAAATGTGGAAACCTTTAGCAATAGCAAGGACCCACATGAGTCAAGCCAGGTCTGGTTGATAGTGGCCCTGCCCTGATGTGCTCTCTGGCCCACAGGACTCTTGTACTGAATCAGAACCCAGTTTAAAAATAGCATTGTACCCCACTAATCATCAGGAAAATGTACGTCAAAACCACAGGGAGATATCACCTCACACCCTTTCCTCTGAGTACTATTAAAAAGTACAGGATATAAATATTGGCTAGGATGTAGAGTGATTGGGACCCTTTTGCACTGCTAGTGTGAATATAAAATGGTGCAGTCACTCTAGGAAAGAGTATGTCAGTTTCCTCAAAAACTGAAGAATAGAATTACCATATGATCCAGCAATCTCACTTCTGGATACACTGCCAAAAGAATTAAAAGCAAAATCCCCAAAATACATTAATATACCCATGTTCATAATAGTATTATTCATGATAGTCAAAAGGTGGAAGTGGAATTAACCCACATGTCCATCAATGCATGAAAAGACAAGAAAACGTGTGTGTGTGTGTGTGTGTGTGTGTGTGTGTCTATGTGTATGTGTGTGTGTGTGTGTGTGTGTGTGTGTGTGATATGAAACCTTATTAAGTTTTAAAAAGAGGAGGAGGATCCAAGATGGCCGTTTAGGAACAGCTCAGGATTGCAGCGCGCAGTGAAAGCACAGAGGGTGAGTGGACACCGCGTTTTTATTGCCCACAGACTAGGAAATTCCCGGGCGGAGGTGCTCCATGGTCGCCAGCTCGGCTGTTTCGGCCAGCACGGCTGTGCCGGCTGGCGCTGCTGCTTTGCCCCGCGCGGATGCTTTGTCGGCGCCCCGGAGCCACGGTTCTCCGCACGAAACACACCTGTCCAGGTGCACTTTTGGCTGGCGATTGGAGCCACGGGAAGTTGCCCATTCGCCGGTTCAAAAAGGAGACTGAGCAGAGAACCAGGACAGTAGATTCCAGGGCAAAATAAAAAAAGAAAAAAAAAAAAAAAAAAAGCGCCACAAACCTCAGTGCCGCTGTTTAAGCCAGCGCAGTGAGTGGCCGCAGGGGAAAACAAACAGACCCCGGCGCCTCTTCAACAGGCGACTGGAACACCAACTTAAAAAAGGCTCTGAGGCAGGGAGCCAGGCGATCAGCCTAGGCTGGCCCCACCCCCACAAAAGAACAGCAACCAGAAACTCTGGATTGAGAGTTTCACAGCAAGCGCAGCTGAACCCAGGACGATCCAGCTCTGTGGGGGAGGGGCGTCCGCCATTACCGAGGCAGCCCACCAGGATGGAGGTAGTTGGCCAATGCTGTGGCAGCCCGCCGTTGCCAAGGCAACCCGCCATTGCTGAGGCAGCCCGCCGTTGCCAAGGCAACCCACCATTACTGAGGCAGCCTGCCGTTGCCAAGGCAACCCGCCACAGCAGAGAGACTCCGCCTCAACAGAGGCGGGCCACCATCGCCAAAGCGGTTCTAACTATACCCATATAAACAGGACTGCAGGGAAGTTCACTTGGCAGCAGGGCGGAGCCCACAGCAGCTCAGCAAAGCCTCTATAGGCCGACAGTGACTAGGCTGCCTCCTTGCTGGGCTGGGCAGGTCTGAAGGAAAAAAAAAAAAAAGAAGGCGGCAGCATAACGGAAACTCATAAATAAAGCCCTAAATCCCTGGGACAGAGCACCTAGGAACAAAAAGCAGTTTATGAGTTCTGCTGCAGCAGACCTAAAAGTACCTGCCCAGCAGCTCTGAATGAACAACAACAGAGCTCACAGCTCACCATTTGAGCTCCTATAAAGAAGAGACCGTCTCCTCAAGCAGCTCGCTGACCCCTATATATCCAAAGAGACACCTCATAAAAGAGAGATCGGATTAACACTAGGTGGGTATCCTTCTGGGACAAAGATAGCAGAAGAAGAAAACTGGTAACAACCCTTACTGTTCAGCAGCTGCTGCAGGTGAACCCCAGGCAAGCAGGGCCTGGAGTGAACCTCAGCAGACCTACAGCAGAGGGGCCAGACTGTCAGAAGGAAAACCAAGAAACAGAAATAACCTCATCATCAACAAACAGAACGTCAGTCTGAAAGATTTGAGACCCAATCTGAAAGCCAGCAACTACAAAGTCGACAGGTGGATAAATCCTTAAAGATTAGAAGAAACCAGCGCAAAAAGGATGAAAACACCCGAAACCAGAACACCTCTCCTCCTACAAGGGATCACAACTCCTCACCAGCAAGGGAACAAGGTTGGAGGGAGGACGAGTGTGATGAAATGACAGAATCAGAATTCAGACGGTGGGTAGTAAGAAACTTCTGTGAACTTAAAGAACATGTTCTAATCAAATGCAAAGAAACTAAGAACCTTGAAAAAAGATTTGAAGAATTGCTAACGAGAACGGACAAAATAGAAAGGAATATAAGTGAATTGATGGAGCTGAAAAATGCAACACGAGAACTTCTTGAAGCATGCACAAGTATCAACAGCCGAATTGACCAAGCAGAAGAAAGGATATCAGAGGTCGAAGATCAACTCAATGAAATAAAATGGGAAGGCAAGACTGGAGAAAAAAGGGTAAAAAGGAATGAACAAAGTCTCCAAGAAATGTGGGATTATGTGAAAAGACCTAATCTACGTTTGATAGGCATACCCGAATGTGACGAAGAGAATGAATCCAAGCTGGAAAATACTCTTCAGGATATTATCCAGTAAAACTTCCCCAACCTAGCAAGGCAGGCAAACATTCAAGTACAGGAAATACAGAGAACACCACAAAGATATTCCTCAAGAAGAGCAACCCCAAGGCACATAATCGTCAGATTCACCAGGGCTGAAATGAAGGAGAAAATACTAAGGGCAGCCAGAGAGAAAGGTCGGGTTACCCATAAAGGGAAGCCCATCAGACTCACAGCAGGTCTCTCAGCAGAAACCCTACAAGCCAGAAGAGAGTGGGGGCCAATATTCAACATCCTTAAAGAAAAGAACTTTCAACACAGAATCTCCTATCCAGCCAAACTAAGCTTCATAAGTGAAGGAAAAATAAAATCCTTTGGGGACATGCAAGTACTCAGAGATTTCGTCACCACCAGGCCAGCTCTACAAGAGCTCCTAAAAGAGGCTCTACACATATAAAGGAACAACAAGTACCAGCTCAACTAAAGGGCAAAACACCCAGCTAGCACCAAAATGGCAATATCAAATTCACACATAACAATATTAACCCTAAATGTAAATGGACTAAATGCCCCAATCAAAAGACACAGACTGGCAAATTGGATAAAAAGACAAAACCCATCGGTGTGCTGTATCCAGGAAACCCATCTCACATGCAAGGTTACACAAAGGCTCAAAATAAAGGAATGGAGGAAGATTTACCAAGCAAATGGAGAGCAAAAAAAAAGCAGGAGTTGCAATTCTCATCTCTGATAAATTAGACTTTAAAGCAACAAAGATCATAAGAGACAAAGAGGGACATTACATAATGGTAAAAGGATCAATGCAACAAGAAGAGCTAACGATCCTAAATATATACGCAC